TGGTACCGCACGGCTCTTGTTATTCTCCACGTAGATTGTGCGTTGTTTTTGCGCGGGAACGTAGCTAGTGCACAAAAATCGCAATGCGCCTTAGACACGAAACGTTTTAATTGTTAGTTGCAGTTTGGCCTAGTTTACTCTACTAAAGCTCACCCTTGAGACTTTTGCTAAGGAGTGCTTACGTTTGCCTCAACGTCTAGCTTCTCATCTCTTGTCTAATTGTATTAAACTAAATTTTCCTTCCCGATGCTCGGCAGTGTCTTATCCGTGATGATAACGTGTACTCTCATTTCTTTTAGTCTGTCAGCGGTACTGGCAACGTCCCGGTGCTGGGTGGCCTTACTCCCGGTCTCAATTCCTCATACGCCTCTCGTACCTCCTCTGCAAGTAGAAGCAAAGGAATAGGTGCTGCAGGGGAACACTTGCGCAATAATTACAATCCTGACTCGAGTATGGACAACGGACCCATGCTGTTTAACTATTTACCGTCTCGTGGGCTTTCAGAACCGTCCACGCTTTCCGGCCTCGGAAACGCCAATCATCCCTTAAACGCCGAACCGTCGAGTTTGGTGCCTGGTCTGGGAAGTAACTCTAAAGGACAACTTTCCATAAATGCTCTTGTTGCGTCAGGGAAGTCTTCAATGGGCGCTAACTCTGGATTTTATTCAGGATCCAGCAGCCTTTCCTCGAGCAATCTACTCAATCCTGGAGTGTCTTCCCCCGGCCTTACGTTCGATCCCTCCGAATTTCCCCCAATTGTTAGCTCTGTCAGCAGGTCACAAACGCAAACGTTTTCTGCAAACGCACCCCATAGGAACTACGTCTTTGCGATCTCCAAAGGGTCTAATTCTTCCACAAATAGTGGTACTAGCCAAAATTCCTTCTCCGCTAGTAATATGCAGCCGCCTCCGGAGTTCTCTATTGACCAGGACTTTCCTGCGCTTCCTGTGGCCCAGTCTACTTCGTCACCGTCGGCGACATCCTCGACCACTCTTAACTCCACTGCATTATCGTCAATCTCCAATTCGATTCCGACTGCGCCGTCCGCACATACGGCACTTAAGAATCAGAACACACAACGAATACACCCTTCCTATAGCGTTAGTTCCTCCCACACTGGTGCGACATCTTGTGGATCTTTGCAGTTACTTTCTGATCATGTAGTTGCCAACATTCCGAAAAACATGATCTGTGACCAGTTCGGCATGATTGGACTCCTCAAGCTGATCAAGATACGGTGCCACGACGGAACTTTTAATATGTTGGCTCCGGGGTATAAACTCACGTCCCTGGGTGTCATTAATTCGCAAGTTCCTGGGTGAGTATTGATCGTCACATATTACTTATTCTCCAATTAGTTTATTTTCGCTCTCTGCGTCTTAACTGTCGTGATTTTAGAACGTTCAGCCCCTAGAAGGGGTTCATTCTAGTCTTGCTGTTGAGCTGTGCAAACGTTTTTTGTCAAGCTTAGCGTGCCATCCCGATGACCGGCACCACAAGAATAGTCATTTAGACTTGTTCTAATAGAAGTCGATAATCATACTTAACGCGTTTGCATGGACGTAATGTTTTTCCGTCCGTCTGGCTGGTGTTGAACTGAGAGTAAAATAGACGTAACTTGCTCTGAGTAGCTAAAATTCCTGCATTTCACTTCTTCACATCCTGCATCGTAATTGTTACATTTTAACCGACAGTGTTGTGATTAACAAAGTTTCTGTCAAAATTGTTTTTGGGAAGTTAGGCATGACTCTCAAAGTGAAGCTTAAAATTACAGTTTTACACACCAGTCCTTTTTTGGATATTCGTTGAGGGGCTTGTCTATTGGCTTCGCATTAGTAGATGCAGTACAGTTTTGAGTTGACCACATAGACTCGGCCACTTCCTTTGCCTGGCAGGGGTAGACATCGAGCTTTTGTTGCATTCAATTTTACAAAATTCGGCGTGTCTATGTTTGACATTGTAACACGGTTGCATTTTCTCATAGCCCACAACATTCCTTCCTGAGTGCGTCCCCTATTAAACACAATTGCATACCAACTTATCCAGCCAGCTTACCTATGCATCTAAACGAGCCTACCTATCACTTTTTGGATGAACAACTCTGACCGTAGATTTGTTGTACACAATCCTTAGAAGTTGACCTCTGTATCTTCTTCAGGCGTTATCGATAACTACAAACGTCTGATGCTTTCTTGATTCGATTTCCCTCTTGTCAGGCATTATTCGTTTTTGGCAGTTTGGAAAAGTCATGGAACGCTAAGCACTGTTGGTCGAATGTTTTGTCGTTTGTTAGATGACTGCTGTACTTCACGGCGATCGTCGTCTTATGTTTTACACAACAAGTTATGGGAAACATTCTCGTGCTATTGAAGTATGCATAATAGCTGAGGTAGGCTGACGAAGATGGAAAAGACTGAGGCTGCAAATGTGATGAGTTAATTCGGTACTACTTCAACCAGTCGTACCTCCGAGTAGAGTTTGATACCGGACAAATCCAAGTACGCGTTAACAAATATCGTATACGGTCAGCGGCGCAGTCAAACTGGTGAGTCAACAAAGCCATTAAGCCGAGCCTCCGCCAGCGTCTTCCTTGGGCCTCCCAATCGCGGAATTAGACTCGCGCCACAGATTCCACGGCAGCTGACGTGTCCGAAATTCCGCCAGTGCTTTGAGTAGTTAATATGCAAGCCAGCCTCTTGAGAAAGGAGACAGGATAGAGCACTGCATACTGTTTAGTGAAAACTCACCACAGGCATACCAAAACCCTGCTGTGCGAGCGTTCGCACCATACAGCGTACATGCTGATTGTTTCCGAGAGGTGCTGATCATGAACCAAACAGTATCAAGGCATCAGACTCCGAGAGATTATTTCTCCGTTATGACACCATTGTCCTTGTTTATTCTGGACGACAGAATGATCATGAGTGATCATGCCAAATCTTTACTTTTGTATTGGGAACAGGTGTTATGGAGGTTTTTGTTTGTGTTTTCTGTCGTCAATAACGAAGTTGTTGTGACTTACGTCGGGACTTTGGATGCAGATAATACGTAAAAAGATTTATTTTATGATGAGCATCGATCTACTTTTAGATGTGTCCCCATGCGTGATATTGTCACCGTTGAGATTTGGAATGCCACGGTGGGAAGTGCCATGCATCTATTGGATGATTGCTTGATGGTGACGCAGTGAGAAACCGCCGTGCGAATCGTGCAAGGCTTCTTAATTTCACTGCTCTAAACCACACGGTCCTCGCAGCTGTCTGCTGCTAACACTTAAGGTGAAATGTAGTTATCTGATACCCCAGTGGTGGTTCGAGACCCAAGACTCCCGAATTGTGTGTGACACCGACACTCGGGACGAGAAGGGCTCTGACCACGCTCTCGAGGACGCATTTACGGTCAAGAGTACATGTTTTGGAAAAGACGTAACCTGGCGAAAAGCCAGTCCCAAGCGTCATGCCAGTGCTACAAACTTTACTCGGGTCTTCTTCCACCCCTTTATCGCACTGTCACACCCGAAACATACTTCTGAGACCTCTTTGGTAACAAACAGGTGACTTGAACCGAAATGCACACCATACAACTTTCCAGGACGTGCTAGGCCGCAACAGACTCTGCCATATGAATTGGATCGCCAATGGAACAACCCGGCTGACAGACAGTGCAGAGATTTATAGCCATGAAGATGCGAACTTCAGCGAATTGGGTCGATCGAGAGGATGCTGTGCATGACGTATCCCCAAAGTATGTGGTGGGACGGTCTGGAATGTCAACTAGGGTCGGCCCAATG